CTTGCTCGCAAGTGTCTGGTGATCGAGCCTTAGACTGGTATATTCAAAGCCATGAATCAAACTGGTAACGCAAGTTTTCCTCTCTGGTCTTTAGCTGTTCCTCATCTCATTGAACTCTGTCGCTCCCCCACTGAGAGAAACAACAGTGACTCTGTTCTGGTTGCCTGCCTGGTAGGTATATTAATAAATTAAAATCAATAATACAATGTATTTATGTCTTATTATTATTAATATGAGTTTCAAAGCACAACTTTGAATAGTGGTTCAAAGATTTTGTGTCTTGTGCTGTAGAACCACTCAAACAGCCAATTTCATATAAATGCTTAAAATATTGCACATTTTAATTCCCTATGGTCACAGAATAACTGTGGCTCAGTGAGAAGAGTATTTAATGCATAAACATGTTGAACGTCAGTACAACAGTGTATTAGAGCTGGGATTGAGAGTGTTTTTTTTATTTTGTGTTTCCCAGTTTTGCAAATGAAATCAAATATTACAATTTTGAGAATATCTGTGACTGTAATAAAGTCAAAATACAATCTTAAGAAAGGTGAAATGTTTTGGAAATAATAGTTTTTAAAGAAAAAAAAAAAGAACAAAAACATATTAAAGTTGACTGCAGTAAAGTTGAACTACAATTTTTTAGAACAAATTCAATATGTCAAGATTAAAATAAACCGTGATAAAGTTGAAATAGTATTTTTGACAAATGTTGAGAAAAAGATTTAATTGTTCTATATAAAGTTTTCATTTTTTGACTAAAATAGAATTAAATATCAAGCTAGTATTAGCACAAAGACCTATGATAGCACAAGATTTACTGTATCTTAACAAATGTATACATTAAAAAGGTTTTAATAAGAAATAAATTGTCTTAATGTATCTGAACTTGTCATCTGTGTCCAAATAGCTTCTCAAAATTTGTAGAGGTTTAAGCTACAGTATTTATTTTTTAAATTAAAGAACACTAATGACCCATCCATCCATCCATCCATCCATCCATCCATCCATCAGCAGCTTGAGCAGGAAGGCCCAGACATCTTTTTCCACAGCCTCTTCCAGCTCTTCTGGGGGGACTCCAAGGTGTTCCCAGGCCAAATGACAGACATAGTCTCTCCAATGTGTCCTGAATCTTCCCTGGAGTCTCCTCCCAGTCGGACATGCCCGAAGTACCTCAGTAGGGAGGTACCCATGGGGAGCATCCTCACCAGATGCTCAAATCACCTCAACTGGATCACTACTTGAAAGTAGTCTGCATGCGCCCTCTGCTGGATACATTTTATAATTGCATCTTTTGCATGTAAGGACACGGCTTGTTCCCAGTGTTTATAACGGTACATAATGGGACAATTATCACCAATATGGATATGTTCCCAAAGGCCTATATTGGCTTTTAATCCTCCATGTCGCCCCCTCCTGATGTGGAGGAGCAGCGGTTTAATGCTAAGTCTCTCCCAGATAACTGAATCTATCTGAACCTATATCCTATCTCTAAGGGAGAGTCCAGCTACCCTGCGGAGGAAACTCATTTCAACCACTTATATTTGCGATCTCATTCTTTTGGTCACTACACAGAGCTCGTGGCCATAATTGAGGGTAGGAACGTAGACCGATCAGTAAACAGAGAGCATTGCCTTACAGCTCAGCTCCCTCTTCACCACAATGGACTGGCACAGGGCCCACAATACTGCAGACACTGCACCAATCCATCTGTCAATCTCACGCTCCATTCTTCCCTCACTTGTGAACAAAACCCTGAGATATTTGAACTCCTCCACTTGAGGCAGAACCTCACCCTCGACCTGAAGAGAACAACCCACCCTTTTCCGACTGAGGACCATGGCCTCAGATTTGAAAGAGTCTCATCCCAGCTGTTTCACACTCGGCTGCAAACAGCTCCAGTGAGGGCTGACGATCACGGCACGATGACGCCAACAGGACCAACTCATCTGCAAAGAGTAAAGATGGAATCCTGAGGCCACTGGACTGGAAACCCTCGCCCCCTGGCTGCACCGAGAAATTATGTCCATAAAATTCATGAACAGAATTGGTGACAATGGTCAGCCCTGGCGGAGTCCAACTCCCACCCTGAAGGGGTCCCACTTACTGCTGGCAATGTGAATCAAACTCTTGCACCACTTGTGTAGTGACCGAACAGCCCATAGCAATGGACCCCCCCCAATCTCATTCTCACAGAGCACCCCCAACAGTTTACCCTTGAGGAACACGGTTGAAAGCCTTCTCCAAGTCCACAAAACACATGTAAACTGGATGAGCAAACTCCCATGACCCTTCGAGGACCCAGTGAAGGTAAAGAGCTGGTCCAGTGTTCCACAGCCAGAACAAAACCCACATTGTTCCTCCTGGATCTGCGATTCAACCAACGATCGGACTCACTTCTCCACTACCCCTGAATAGACCTTACCTCAGATGCTAAGGAGAGTGATGTCCCTGTAATTGGAGCACACCCTCTGGTCCCCTTTTTGAAGAGGAGAACCACCACCCTAGTCTGCCATACCAGTGGCACCTCCCCTGATCAATAGCCACGTGATGTTGCAAACGCGTGTCAATCAAGGTAGCGCCACAACATCCAGAGCCTTAAGGAAATAAGGGTAGATCTCATTCACCCCCGGAGCCCTGCTCCCCTGTGGAGCTTTTTAACTACCTCACTGACCTCAGCCACGGTTATGGACAGACCAACTCCAAAGTCCCCAAACTCTACTTCCTTCATGGAAGACTAAAAAAAAAATAAAAATAATAATTTGTATGACCATCTTTGAGGGATTTTGGGGTCAAGAATGTGTTTAAAACTCTTATTCTGAAGAACTGAAGGAAGTGCTATGAATTGTGATTGATGCTACTATATAAAAAAAAAATAAAGACCTCGCAACAAGAAAATATTTTGTGTTGTAATTTTGTAGTTTACTCTGTAAAAATAAATCTACAGTCCTAAACACTTTTGGGTTTTCTTCCTCGGGCCCCACTGTTTTTGAAATAGTGCTTTGACATAATTCTCAACATTTCAATTTTAATCTTGACGTAACAATTTTGTTCTCAAAACTGAGTGAACAACAATCTTTTTTTTTGTTTTTATTTTTTATCTATTCCTTTCTTTATCATTTCATATTATCCTAATACACTATCCTGCACTGGTGCACCAAAATAAACTCCAGTTTTATTACCAACATGGAACAATACTAAAAATCATACAAAGATTGTGTATTTTATGTACAGTATCTAAATAGAATGAAGAACACCTTTTTAGTATTTTATCCACCCAGTCTAATCCTGAAAATTAAGATGCAAAGATTTCCAGTGCATGCTGGTCAGGAGCTTTAGGTTGCCTGTCCTCTTCTCTGAGCTCTTGCTCATCAGTCATTTTCAGGTTAATGTGATTCCATTTGATTCTTTTAGCCAGGGGTTAGATAGTGCATGTGAAGATGTTGAAGTCCAACCTTCAAAGAACACAGCCATCACAAATCATTTGTAATCTTGAATCTCGGCGGCTCTCCTGACTGAACGTGTCAGACGTGTCACGTGTATTAGGCGTGCGCTCTTCAGATCATATAATTCTATTAAAGCAAGTCCTGCTCAGAAAAGACTGAATGTTGCCTAACTTGTTGTTTGGTGATCATTTGTATTTTTACAATTCCAACCCTACCTTCCCAGTTGTCTTTATATGTTCTAGAATTGCTCCGCTCGGGGTGGCTGCGTGTTGGAGTAGCTGAAAACTTTTATTCCTGTTTTTTCTGGATGTAAATGCCTTTTTTTTTTGGACGATTACTTCCTTTGGTATCGGATGATGTGCAGCTGGAAGAATTTTTACTGAAAGCTTTATTTTTTTATTTTTGGGCATTTGTTATGATGCGTAACCATGACAACAAGTTTTTTTTTTTTTTATGACAACCAGGAGCAGCTGATTAACGTCTCAAAAGCTCAAATACCTCAACTACAGCCCCAAATCCCAAATGAGTTGAAAAGGAGGCGCCATAGACAAATTCTCGTCAACCTGGTGGCGGTGCTCGAGTACCAGTGTTGCCAGATCTCGCGTTAGAAACAAGCAACCAGCTCTATGAAAACAAGCCCAAAACAAGCCCAACTGGCAACCCACCACATTGTGTGAAACAGGGGCCATTTTAAAACGGTATAAACATACATTTATATGGCATTACACATAAACAACAGAAAAATTATGCCAAACACTTTGACTAACATACTTTTAAGCTCTGATAAAAATAAATTTTGCATATAATTTTTTTCTACATATTTAAAAAAACAAAAAATCGTGACATCTGCGTGTGAGTGGATCCCCCTAGTGGTTGGCCACAGTATGAGTGTTTGGGGTGCACACCCACAGACGTATAGTATTTCTATATATGTCTATGAGTGCGCCTGTTGCCTCGCCAACTTGGGCGGGAGCGATAAACGAGAAACGGGGATGTGGAAGCTCAGCAGGCTGCTGGGAGGAGTGACCATCGCTCAGGGAGGAATTCTGCCCGGCATTACGGCAGTCCTGCTGCCCAGGAGGACCGAGAGGCCCCCAGATCTGACAGCAAGCTGGATCCAGGTGGACGAATCGACATCTGTGACCAGATTCTTTGGATCCTGCCCACAGCCATCATCATCTATAACAACTCTTGAATGAAACCAGGATGATGAGCTACGACAACACTTAATTTCCCTATGGATTAATAAAGTATTTTTGAATTTATGTGGTTGCACAACGTGCATGTTTGTATTGTTGCATAGATCCAAGCAGCTGATATCGTTTGTGCTTATGCATAATGTCTCCACATGTGTCTGCAGGCTGCTCTGAGGAGGCTGGCAGCAGGCTGTCCCGACAGCATTGAGGCGGCCGATTACCAACAGCTGATCAAACCACGGTTGGTCGATTCTTTCCTGCTGTGCTCCAACATGGAGGAGAGCTTCGTCTGATAACCTGCACGTCCCTACACAGAGAAACAGAATTCACTTACATCTCAGACTGCGTACCGGATTTTTGCATCTACTTCATGACTCGTTCTGCTTTACATCCTGAGAGTTCCCAACTTTTATTCTGAATTTTACTAAAAGGAATAAAAATCTGTAGTTGCAGAAAGCAAGGAGGCAACAATTATTGACCAAGATTTTTTTTACACGATTGTATCTAATAATTATATAAATATTTCACAAGTGTGGTTATTTTGGCTAATTGTGCAATTTTGTTGTATGTCCTTGTTACTGATAAGAGTTAATGTTTCAAACACTGTGAAATGCTTCTGACAGATTTCATCACCAAAAAACAAAGATCACATTTGACATGTTCAATATTATTTAGTGTTCCTTCAGTGCATCATTTTTTTATTAAGAAATACAGTAACATAACAGTTATCCACTTTAAACCATATACTTTTATGTTAATTCAGTTTATTTATATAAAGCCAAGTCACAACAGAAGTTGTCTCAGGCACTGTACAAAAACATTTGCATACATTGAAAAAGACAATTAGTAAAAGTTATCTATAGGAAGCAGCAGATTGTGTTGAATCTTCACTTTGTCACAGTCCCCCATCCTGAGCAAACACAAAGGAGACAGTGGAAAGGAAAAACTTACTTTTAACAGGAAGAAACCTCCAGCAGAACCAGGCTCAGGACGAGCGGCCATCTGCTTCGACCGGCTGGTTTGAGAGGAACAGGAAGGAGAAACAAACAGAATGACAGGTCCAGGTGAACTTTCTATAGGAGGAAAGACAAAAAGCACGTGAAGGATACAAATAATTACAAATACAAAACAGGAAGAGTAGGGCAAGTAAAGGCAGCAGCAGAGTGAGGAAATGTAGCCAGTTTGTCCTCCAGCAGTCTAAGCCTATAGCAGCATAACTAAGGGATAGCTCCGTAAACCCAAACTGACCCTAACTATAGGATTTATCAAAAAGGAATGACTTCAGCCTAATCTTAAAAGTAGGCAATGTGTCAGCCTCATGGACAGAAACTGGACGTTGGTTCCACAAGAGAGGAGCCTGATAACTGAAATATCTGCCTCCCATTCCAGTTTTGGAAACTCTAGGAACCACAAGTAAACCTATCACTTTCAACATCTCAATAATATCTCATCTACAGCACCAAATATCAAATGAGTTGAAAAGGATGTTCTGTGGATGCATTCTCATCTACCTGCCAGCTGTGCTCGAGTGCCTGACCACTGAGATCCTGGAACTAGCAGGAAACATGGCTCATGACAGTGGAAGGACAGGATCGTCCCTCAGCACCTACAGTTGGCTGTCCGCAGCGACGAGGAGCTCGGCAGACTGCTGGGAGGAGTGGCCATCGCTCTGGGAGGAGTTCTGCCCGGCATTCAGGCGTTCCTACAGCCCGAGGGGAACCAAGAGGCCAGCAGAGTCTGGGTGGACGGATCAGATGGCATCTGCAGCCAGTTTCTTAGGATCCACTGTGGGATGGACCTTTACAAGAGATCCTTCCTGTCTACAGCCATCAGTATCTATAACATCTCTTAATGAAACGAGGATAACGAGTTACATCAACAAATCATTTCCCTTTGGGATTAATAAAGTATTTTTGAATTGAATTGAATCTACATGAATATTGAAATATCCCATTATTATGACTTTATCAGTATTCAGTAATAAGTCACACACAAAAAATCTGAGAATTCAGACCAGACCTGAGAATAAGTGCCTGGTGGACGATATATAACAACTAATAAAAGCGGCTTTTCTGATTTCCATGTTGAATGGGAAAGACTGAGGGACAACTACTCAAATTAACTAATATTTGGCTTAGCATTAATCAATAATCCTGACCAAAAAATAAATATACTGTAAGCTACTCCTCCACTTTGACCAGTTGTTCTAGGAAGGTGAAAATTTAAATAATTAGGTGGAGTGGATTCATTTATACTAACAAAATCCTCCTGTTGTAATCAGGTTTCTGTCAGACAGAATAAATCAATATGATGATCAGTTATCAGATCATTAACTAACAGAGACTTAGACAAAATTCAGTTCAATTCAAAAATACTTTATTAATCCCAAAGTGAAATTAAATGTTGTAACTCATCCTGGTTTCATAAAAGATGCTGTGGGCAGGAAGGATCTCTTGTAGCGAGCTCTGACGTTCCATAATCCACATTTAATGATTTTATTATTTTTGTTCTGGTAGAGGAACTGTTTATTTTGTAGTATGACATATCCTGAGATATATTCATACATTAAACGGGTTCTTCATTTTTCTGGACTGTGTAACATACGTGCGTTGAATGTAATAAAAATGTGGACGTGAGACGTTAATTATCTTTGACTCACCACGACAGTGGGTCATTTATTAACAGAATCAAGTTTAACACATCACACATTTACATTAATTGGCAAGAATTGAAAAATAACGACATAATTAATCAGCTTTACAACCAGGAAAACCATACGGCCATGATTTTACGTTGCTACACCACAGACATTTCTGAAAACATCTGGATTAATTTTCTAGCAGATAGGAGAGTTTAAAGATGGAAAGATGAAGTTTATCTGAGAGAGATGTGTGAGGGAATTTGTCTGTTTTAACCAGAACAGCACGCTCCATTGAAATCAGCTTGGGCCAACGGTACGCTTGGTCGAAATAGAACTTTTACCTTGCAGACGATAGCTTCAGCGTCGGTGTAGAGCTCTTCTTTTGACTCTTTCAGCGTCTCCGTGAGAACAGCTAAAAACCTTGGGAGTCGTGTGAGGTTATCCAAACAGAAGTTATAATTCCCAAAATCGTCTCTGGTTCAGCTTGATTGGTTTAGCAGCATCCTGAATGCCCGCGTTCTGCATTCAGGAACTCCCAAACTCTCTGCATCTGAATTCCAAAAACTCCGAGCTCTTGAACTGCTGCTCCATCTTCAAGACTGAGCTTACAGCAGCTTCAAGACTGAGCTGAACTCTTTGAGCTGAACTCTTCTGAACTCTCTACCAGAACTCTTCTCTTTGAACTAGGAAGTGCCAACCTTTTAAGAAGGGTCACTTCCGGTTCATTTGAGAGCTTTTTGATTGGTCGATGGACCAAAGCAGAGGTGTGGCTTGTGATGTAAGGTGTTATTAAAAGTCAAGGAAAAGATTCAGATTGTTTAAGAACAGACAGAAAGATTGTTGGAGAAAACCAGACTTAGTGGCGCCTCTCACCAAGTATCTTGCTGTAAAAGTTAAACATGACATTTCTTTTCAGTAAACTTTTCAGTTGACCGAAACCTGAACTTTGACACACTTACAAATTTGCTCACTTCAAAGCAGACGATCAAGAAATTGAATCATTACTCTGTAACGTACTCTAACTTGATTTCACTTTGAATTGAGGATTAAAAAATCATTACACTGTTTTAAGTAAATAAAAATGAGTAGTTCACTTCAACATGTAAACATTGTTTGAACTAACACAATTTGATTATCAAAACATTTGTAAAATAGTAATGATCATAGAGAATTGTCTTTTCCACTTGATTAATTCAAGAAAGAAAGTCTCAGGATCGATCAACCTGTATTTCTGGATGCAAATCAATGAAATGACAGTTTCTGACCATATGATCCTAAGGTCAAGATTTGACATCAGGTCAAGTTCACTACAATTTTAATAAGATTTTTATGGTTTATATTTTTAGAGCTGATTTTTGGTTTATTTAATTTGAGCCGTGGGCGAGTTGACACTGTTTCAATGGTGGGGGTGTAACAGAGGAGAAGCAGCAGAGAGGTGTGGAGGACTACAACTCTTCTTCCTGGACTGGACCCTGGGTTGTCAATAATTTGGGGGATAAACAAAATCAGCCATATTTCTAGAAAGAAGAGCGGCTCCGTCCAAAGTGGGATGGATGCCATCTCTCCGCATCAGACCAGGTTTTCTCCAAAAAGCACTCCAGTTATCTACATAGCCCACGTTGTTTTCAGGACACCACCTGGACACCCAGCAGTTGAATGATGACACGTCGACTAAACATGTTGTCACTGGTCAGGTTGGGGAGGGGGCCAGAAAAAAAAAAAAGTCTAACAGTTTTAGCGAAGTTACACACCGAAGCAACATTAGTTTTAGTGACCTCCGATTAGCTTAACCAGGTGTCATGACCAACGTGTCAACGTGCATAACATTTTTACTGCAATTAGCCTTAGTCAGCAGTTTCAGGTAAGATTCAGTGTCGCCCGCTCTGGCCCCTGGAATGCATTTAACTATGGTCGCTGGAGTCCCTAAAAGCACATTTCGGACTATGGATCTGTCAAAGACCAGGGTCTGCTTCTCAGCGGGTGTATCACTGAGTGAGGAAAATTGATTAGAAATGTGAACAGGTCGTGGAGAACTGGGGGCTTAGCTTTAGCTCCGTCACCCAGCCGGTCTGGGGTCCTGGCTGCGAAGGGTCTGCTGGAGGACTGCTAACGGGAGCTATTCCCATTGAATATGTTGAGTTATTCCCAAATTTATATGCCAGCAATTGCAAATATTACAGTTTTTACAGCACAAATATGTCTCAATTTAAAAAAGATTTTTTATTTAAATAGAGTTATGATAATTGTATGCAATGCATTGAATAAAAGCATTAATCAAATCTGCGTTAAATGTGTTTTTTTTTTAATGCTGTCGTAAAAATGTACATAAGTTGTTGCGATTCTGTTGGTGGTAAGTATGTCTGGATCAGAGTACGTGTCAGCCATGCAGGAACATAATGTGTGTGGAGAAAAGTTTAGGGAGGTTCCACCTCAGCATGGACCTGAAGGTTGGAGGAGAGAAGTGAAGAACATCTCAGGACATTTACGCAGGAGGCTGGAGTTCAGATACCAACACGCTGCTATTTATTTCTATTTTTAACTGCATATACATTTTCTCGTTGCTGTTTAGTTCAGAATATAAATCTGTTTGTCTACGTCAAAGGGGTCACCATTAATTACATGTTCATGAATTCAAATGTTGTGATAGCGCAGGCATAATTTTCTTGCATCATAATCTAAAATGTTCAATTCTCTCAGCTCTCAATTTAACAGAAAATTTAAAAGTAGCATTCCTTGAAGCCATCTTGCCA